TATAATTTTAAATCTATGTCATTTATATATAAAGTTATATCTTAATATGTATTAATACATTTATTTAATTATTTAATCTTAAGCTAGAACATTGGCGCACACAACTCGAAGATGATGTTCCTGAACTAAGAGCACATGCTGTGAAAGTTCTTAGTATTACTTGTTCAACTTTTGCATGTGAGTGTAATTGGAGCATATTCAATCAACTACATATAAACATAAGAAATCAATTGATTACAAGGCGAATGAACAAGTTAGTTTATGTAATTTTCAAAAAAAAAAATGAGAGATACACACTTGAAGCTAAGACTACAACACATTTAGTGAAAGTATTATGAATTGTTGTTGGTGAGAGGGCTCCTGCTATGGGATTTATTTATGAACTTATGAGCAAAACAAAAGAGAAAATAGCAAAATATTTAGGAGGACAGGAAGCAACTTAAAAAGAAATATGAGAAATCATTGATGACAAATGGGATCGTCAGCTCCATCAATATTTATATGTTGTTGTATATTATTTGAATCATTAATTTCGATATGACAAAGACTTTTATATGGATAAAAAGGTTAACATCAGTTCATATGCATGCATGGATAGAAATGATCTTGAGTCTGAGTATCTTAAAGTCAATGATCAACTTGAAGATTTTCATTTAAAGAATGAAATATTTAGACTTAGAGCGGCTCAAGTCTACTGCAAATAACACTCACCTAATAAATTTCATATATCTGTGATTTTAAATCTATGAGTTTGTCATTTATATATAAAATTATATCTTAATATGTATTAATACATTTATTTAATGATTTAATCTTATGCTAGAACATTGGTGGACAGAACTCGAAGATGATGTTCCTGACCTCAGAGCACTTGCTGTGAAAGTTCTTAGTATTACTTGTTTCAGCTTTTGCATGTGAGTGTAATTGGAGCATATTCAGCCAACTGCATATAAACATAAGAAATCAATTTATTACAAGGCGAATGAACAAGTTAGTTTATGTAATTTTCAATAAAAAAATGAAAGATAAACACTTGAAGTTACAACAACATAAAAATGGTGGTGGTGAAATAGGTTTTTTAACTGTTGATGATATTATGTCTGATGATGAATGAATAAAGCCTAAGAATGCTAAAAAATTTGAAGTTGAAGATAAAGTGCCTTTTAATGATGATAATAAAGATATAAATGTTAATATTAAAAGGGATCAAAGAGATATCGAATTTGGAGCAACTTTTACTTCATAATCATTTAAAAGAAAGAAGTAGGGTGAGAGCTTTAAAAAAAAATCTAAAGGTAATTCCATAATTAAACTGTGAAGTAGGGTGAGAGCTTTAAAAAAAATCTAAAGGTAATTCCATAATTAAACTGTAATTGATTACTTGGTTGTGCTACTAATTATATTGAATTCAATGTTGATTGATGTTGGGAGTAAAATGAAAGATGTGGTAAATGTAGAATTTGAAGATGATAACACAGAATTAGAAGATGATAGAGTTATTACATATAATGATTCTTCTGAAGATGATGAAAATCATGATGATACCACTATGGATCTCGACTCTTGTGCCATATTTAAATGCTAAGTTTAATGTTCAAGTCTTCTTCAAACTTTTACAGTTTTGCAATATTTGCAGTCCTCCACAGGCTGATAATGTGCTATTAGAGACGAACCTAAAACCCGAAACACCAGAGGACTTACGACACAGCTGCAAACTAGTTCGCACAAGCCCATTAGCATATTTAAATTCTAAGTTTAATGATCAAGATTTGTGGTTTGTCAAATGAAATATTTATGAATTATGTATAATTTTATTATTTTATTATTTTTTATTTTGAGGCTTAAGCCTCGAAACCTATGCCTCACCTCGCAATGAGAAGAAGGCTCGATTCCCGATTTCTCCCTTTAAAACCTTGGTAAATACATAAGAATTGTGGGGTATGCATGTAAATATCCCAGTTATTTATGAACATTGATGCGTGCAGGGGTGTGTGCACATATCAAATACCTATACAAATCAAGAAATTAGCGAGTAGAAAGTGTGTCAAGGGTGTTCAAACAACTATAAAAACCAGAAACACACCTAATACACACATATAGGAGCCAAATCCATATCTTATTCTACGTGAATACTTCAAACTTTATAATTTATATTCAAAATGAATAACAAAAGAGTGAAGTGCAATTTATGAGAAAAACGAGCCATGTGTGTTTATTAATGAAGATTGTTTATAAATGCTCCAATGAAACTTCTTTTAAACTTTTAGCATACAAACACTAGGCTCAAACCTCTCTCATGCTCACTAATTAGGCAAAAAAAACACTTGCGCAGTGTTTAAAAAATCATTCAAGTCATGCTTAGGTATGAGGCACATGAAAAATGCCTTAGGGTTTATGCCTCATCATCCTCAGTGAGAGTTGCAACATTTATATCTAAAACATACGCCTCAAGGCTTTATACCATTAGGCATTTGAGGAATGCGTCTCGAATGATTTTCTAGAAAATGTGTTTAAATGTATACAACTTCATCATTATTAGAACATGTATTTGAACCTTATTCAAATCATGATTAAACATTGTTTGAATAATGTTCAAATCACAATCTATGAAAGTTTAAGCAGTTGGAATAAAATTCGAGCACTTCCTCAAAAAAACTATGTTCAATCATATTTCTAAAAAGATTAGAAAATGTGTTTGAAGCACGTTTGATCTTTGTTCAATCATGATTTAAATAAGGTTTGAACATGTGTGGAAAACATGTTCTAATATGTTTCACACTTTCACTTTACATTAATCATAGATTGGTTTTCTTTTACTTAATGTAATTTTGTGATATTTATGATTGAGATTGGTTTTCTTTTACTTAATGTAATTTTGTGATTTATGATGATGAAAAAAATAAAGCTATCAATGATTTACAACATATTTATGAAAACTTCTAATTTTAAGACTTCTTTTATTTTTTTCAATTTAAGGCATAAGTCTTAATCCATCTAAAAACTTGTGCCTCACCTCACTAAGTAAAAACGCCTCAGCTCCTGAATACATCCCTTTAAACTTTGCTTAAAAGCAGGGGTATCAAAAATTGACAAGACACGCCAATACGATTCGAACTCGACTCGAAAAATTCAGGTTAGGGTTGACCTGAATATTTTTCGAGTCGGGAAACCTAAACATGACTTGAATAAGCATGAAATTTCATATCGGGTTTGGGTTAGAGGGGTCAAGCTCAGGTTAAGGTTAGTTTTCGATCCGTTTATTATTCGGGTCGGGCTAGGGTTGACCATATTCAGGTCAGGTCATTTTCAGGTTGGACCCTAACCCGACCCACTAACCCAAATTGACACATGACCAAAAGAAAATATGTTGAGATTTTCATACATATTTTATACCGTTTTTGATGATATTGCACTTTAAAGAAACGTGTTTTTGATATTTTGTTGCAGAAATGATGAAATATGATCATTGTAGCAAAAAGATGTAAAAATGAGCGAATTTGGAGCGAAAAATGACCAAAATGTGAAGATTGAACTAGGGTGCCGACGACGCCATCGACCCCGCTGACAACGAGATTTTCCCGAGACTCCAGAATTAATTCATTAAGAAGATCCGCCGACGGCGCCTTCGAGGCCGCCGACGGCGAG